GTGTCATCACATTTGTTTGAGATTCCAAGCTCCAAACTCTTTCCAACCTAACGTACATGAATTATTTTATAATAGGACTCGTGGGATATTCACTCAGTGATCAGGCTGTACAAAATATAGCTGTCTTGGACTGATAGAGCAGATGTAATACTATGATGGATATACTGTATCTGCAACACTACACTACTACATCTATGTACGGTACTATAGATGTATTAATAGAGCAGATGTAATACTCGAGAAACAACATGGGCTTTTAGTCTCACTGAAAGCACACAAAATACCAAGAAACGCGTTGAACCTATTTAATGGCTGGGTACTAAACTTTGCGAATAATCACAAATTTAGGGTGGCAATAATCTAAAAACTTCGTCGATGTATGAATGATAACAATAGTGTAGAAACAAAACAAGCATCAAACTTACGAGACGTTGCACGTCAACCCTATTAATCAGTTTGATTGGTCGCTAAAAATAAACTGTTACATCATATCATATTTAAAGTTAACGCAAGTCTGGATAGAAAGAAAATGGAGATTCGGAATAGGCATACTAGGTTTATCAAGCTCAAAGTAACACTGACACAAGGCACAATGTAACAAAGACATCATACGGACAACGGATAAACTGGCCTCCTAAGCAATGCTACATATCGCGCCTCGTGCTTAGGCAGGAGCTCATCATCACAAATGAGACACGGCAGGGACGGCACGCAACAGGAGTAGAGCAAGGCGGATGGTTCCGAGAAAATGCAGAGCGATTTAAAACCTAAATTCCAATAGATAACTCGCACAACGCGACCATAGCTTAGTGATAGATGAGAGACGTTGTGAATGATCTGGCTTGTAATAGGTCCTAAAATAATATACGTTTAAAAATTACTTTTTAAAGACAACACTTCTAAAGAATCCAGTTTCTCCAATGTTAAAGATGTACAATGAAGTTCACATTTTATTTTCGAAAATTAAAAAAATTAATTTTTAACATTTTTTAATATATAAGATTTTTTTTCAAAATTATTTACTCTGTCAATTGATTCATGCATTGCCTCCGACTTCACACAAGTATGCAAAATTTCAGATCAATTGGACAGGTGGAAGTGATTACAGTGTTCTGTGTACAGTTATGATTACAGTGTTGCCAGATGGGCCTTTTTAAGGCCAAATTTCTCAAATGTGGCATTTTTACAACACTTCTCTTTAACTTCACTTCTTGTTGTCTGTTTGTTTGTCTGTCTGCTACAAATCTTGTAATCGAAATTTAACACACTTGTGTAAAGTTGGAGACAATGTATGAATCAAATGTCAAAATGAATGATTTTAAAAGTAAAAAAAATTTTTAATATCAAAAAAATTGAAAAAATAATTTTGTCTGCTACAAATCTTATAACTGATATTTGACACACTTTTACCTGTCTAATTGATCTGAAAAATTTTGCACACTTGTGTGAAGTCAGAGGCAATGCATGAATCAATTAATAGAATAAATAATTTTGAAAAAAATTATATATTAAAAAAATTTACGAATTAAAAAATTGAAAAATTTTTTAATATTCGAAAATTAAATGAGAAATTCATTGTACATCTGTAAGATTGGAGACACTGGATTCTTTGGAAGTGTTGTCTTTAAAAAGTAATTTTTAAACGTATATTATTTGAAATGCATTGGCCTGACAAAATTAATTTAAGCTTTTTTGGGGCTTTTTTATGAAAAATGTAATTCTCGATTTTTTAAAATAATTTTGTCCTTCACTTATAATTCAGGTTTGTCCAAGACGAGTACACTCAAATTTCGACACGTAACTGTGTCAACACTTCGGTATACGTGACAACACTGTTGCCCTAATCCGGGTAACACTTTGGTTGAACCATGGGATTATATCCAGTTGCCAACTCGTATTAATAACCATGGATGGCAGAGCTGACAGCGCGTATAATCGAGTATAGTTTTCACTTCTAAATAAAAAAAGTGTTTAATTCAGCACTAATTTTTGAGGTTACAGCGCTGTTTCTCGATACATTATTTAGCCTTCTGTTGTGAGTCACTACAAAATTTCACTTAGAATAAATATAATAACTACTCCTCTCCAAGTTATAATAGGCAATATATTTTTTCTGCGTATTCAAAAGTTGTGATAAATTTATAGGATTGACTTTTAATATATACCTTAGCCTTGCCAGGACCACATCATCTTTATACCACAGAAATTAGTTTAAATTTATTTTCATTTCCGCGTATATATATTCTACAGTCAATACCAAAAACTTCGCCACATCACAGTCTTGCAACTTGCAAGGACCAATACTGTTGTGGGCTCAATCCTTAAGCCAGCTAGGCCCAAACACTCTTGATCATTTATGGCTCGTGTCGTCCTTCAACCCCCTTTATCCCCTTCTCCCAGGGCTCAATTCATACGAGAGTTCTTAGTTTAAAAGTGTAATTCTTAAGTCTCGAGGCTTCCCTGAAAATACATCAATAACAAATCAACCAGTGCAACCTAATGGACTCAAATAAATACATAAATACAAAATTGAATATCCTAATTTTAGACAAACACAGAATATATTTCCACCATAGTTTACAGATTAAGATTTTACAGATCCTTCGCTACCATGATGACACATGACACCCACCTCCTTCACGGTTCCGCACAACAATGACAAGCCTGCTATTCCTAACCCGTGCACGTAATAAACAGATTCCTCTAAACCTAAAATTACTTGTCGAATATAAAAATACTTGATGAATTAAAATCTGTTCTATAAAACCCTAACAATACTGCAGAAATGAGTTTAAATTTATTTTCATCTTCCGCGTATAAGTATTCTACCCAATGCCAAAAACCACGGTTGAGCTACCCAGTGAAAATTTACAGACGCGGCAGCTTCTGATTTGAATTACCAGAAGCTGGGGCGACTCTAAAGTAAATTTTGTTCGGGTACTACAAGGTTGACCCACGCACAGCTGCGCCTTGCGGATGTCATTTGTTATTCCACCCGTGATGTCACCTTGGTCGTCGTGACGTCACAGTGTGATTCAAACTGATTTATAACACCTGTTTTGCTTAAAACAAGACTAGTTGCAGTAAATAATTTGTTTTGGGCCATTTTAATGAGGTCTATTTTTTATGGTTGAAATAATACAAGGTTTTCTAGGGCAGCTGCACCTTGCGGATGTCATTTGTTATTCCAACTGTGGATCTTGTGACGTCACCTCGCGGCGTCAAACTGATTTGTAACACTGGTTCTGCTTAAAATAAAAAAAGTTGCATGCAGTAAATATTTTTCTGCGCCGTTTCGAAGAGGTAATTTTTTTTAAATGCTTTCAAGTATGGAAATGCTTTCAAAGATGGAATGAAAACAATCTGTTGATCGACACTATTTACATTTTGTGACAACAGTGACGTCACTCCAGAGATGCGCAGAACAGCAAAAAATCGTCATCGTCGGGTGACAATCTTATATTAGTTCATCCATGCCAAAAACTTAGCAACATCACTTAGGTGAAAAGGACAAAAATTAATAGAGAATGTTCAAAGACGTGCAACAAGGAGGGAGCGCGTCGGTGGGTAACAAATTTGACTCGTAAACAGGCACTGGGCCCAACGGCAAACATCAGCATGCAATATCTACACATAGCCTCAGATCAATTAGCTGTGGGTAACTCCGGCTAACAGTAAATCCGATTTGCACAACACAGCCACTGCTTCACAGAGCCGGAGCCCAACTGGCCGGAGCGCAACAGGCCCTACCGCAACAGGCGGCGCAGGTTAGGTTACGTTACGTTAGGAGTAGCTCCGGCCAGTTGGGCTCCGGCCTGTACGCGCTACGGCCTGTGACTGAACGGCGCTGTTGTGGTGGGCGCTTTGTGTCAAAAGCCGTGAAGATGCCCGGCTGCGTTACGCTCGGGAAGGTGTATGAATAGCACTGTGGACTTGGGCTATGCTGACCTCTAGCTATCCACCCCAACAATGATAATTCCAGGCTTGAAGGGCAAGTCCTGTGAAGAAAGATTAGATATTATGAAGCTTCCAAGCCTCAGTTATCGACGTCTGCGTGGGGAACTCATTGAAGTATACATACAAGTATACTCATGGTTAATACAAGGTCCCCGAAGGATTACTAGAATTTGAAACAAGAACCAACACCAGGGGCCACGGCTAAATCGGCCATAGCATAAAAAAACTGCGCTGCAACTTCTCCACTCGACAACATTTCTTCTCGCTTGGAATCACCGTCATGTGGAACAGCCTCCCCGATGACATCGTTGGCGCTCCAAGTATGAACGCGTTCAAGAACAGACGAGATAAAGCTATGGAAAAATATATGTTCAGATTTGAAATGCCTAGCACCACATCGAACCCGGTGGAAGTCTAGCAGCTATTTCAAATTATCGTCAGTCATGAAAATATCCGGTCAAATGACACGATTTTAGATCTTCTGTGAGTAAAGCACGAAAAGGAAAAGAATCGGTGACAGGTAACATCTGGCCTACACTTCAGCGCCGAGATCACTATGTTATGTCGCCTTCCACTATACACTATCTATTTTGTTAGCAAAACTGAGCTAACACTCTCCAACGCGAACGAAAAGCTTCATAGTGGTTAGGTGGCAATCGAATCATAAATATCATAGTTTTGGACCTGTATTATACGGTTTTATTTACGGTCAGCGAGTTACGTGCAATTCGCTGTAGGCTGGCGCCTGGAGGCTTATATAGCATTGACGCATTTGACGGTAATTCAGCTCCTACACGTGGTTAAATTGGTGTATTTTTGCTTTCTGAAAGCTTTGAGAGTAAATGCATGCACTGCAAATGGTCAGAACTACCTTAAATCTAAAAATTTCTTATTAATTTCAAATTGGGCCTTTTTTTTGGCCTTTTTCGTGAGCTAAATTGCCCTTTTTCTCTTGGCTCCATCTGCCATCTGGCAACCCTGGTTCTGACTTCTGAAATCTGAACAAGAACAATCTGAAGCTGACTAGTGTCGTTCAAGCTGCCGGTGAGAGTTGTAGTGCGCTCTCTCGACGTTATAGTTGCTTACAAGTGCTGGTTAAATCGACGACTATACTCACGTGGTAAAAATCTGACATTCTCCTTATCAATTAAAACATTACTGCATCACTTTTGTATGTTTGCTCATGTGAATGTCGTTTTACTGTAAATATTGAACCACACAGGTTCTGGCAGTTACAAACCAAGCAAAAGTCTCGAAATGTGGCGTACCGAAAATATCAGACCCAGTGAACTCGTGCATGTGTTGAATAATTTGGTAAGGTTTTGGTGAGTGGCCCTTTCATTTGATGTTTGGTGACACTTCTTACTATATTTAAACCAGAGATTTAATTTCGGATGCCTCTTTGTGGGACAAGAGAGTTCATTTCGATGTGAGAAATAGTTTTCAATCTTACAAATACTCGGTTACTCATTAACATGAGAAGCATGTTTCGATACCTACCAGATTTATTTGGTTTCAGTAGTTGGTGTATCTCAATTATCTAACTATTTACAATCCGCTGTCGCTTTAGGTCTGCAAGAAAGTCACAATTACTGCGTTTATGGGCATGAAAAGAAAAAAGTCTTCGACCGGATCCGAAATACGTTAATCACAAAAAAGGAAGTTCACTGACGTCTATAAGACTAATTTATATTCGATAATGAATAACATATTTTTCTGATAAGATCATGTTATGTTAAATTTACCGACGATAACAATCTTGGTGGTTATCTAGAATCTTGTTTCGTTTATATATAAAAGAATATCTGGAAAAATCAGTGGGGAGTTCCCGGGGTCGCGCATATTCTAAAGAGAAATAAAGACATGGACTGAGGTAATACTAGCATTCAACGAGCTATAATATTCACACATTATTCATTCAATTTTAAATGTAACAACGTAATCATAGTTGTTGTTTAGCTTTCAGTTTTAGGATTTTTTTTTAGAAATACGGACATGGCTTCCCGCCTTTTAGGCCAAGGGTTGAAAATCTTTCATCCGAGGCTATGTGCACCTATCCGCGTTCATTCCAAAGCATTTAGTGTGAGTTGCTTACGGGATGCAGCAAATATCGAAGTCATGCCTCGGATCAGCCTCATGGACGTGCCCACTTCAATCAGAGTCACTGACTTGACGCCGTTCTCCCTCGTCACCCTCCAAATGCGGGTCGAAGACGCCAAGGGTATCAAGGTAAACTCATTGTAATTTATAAATACGTAATAAAGTGACACCGATTGATATTATTCACTGAGCTACATGTGAATAAGAACTCTTTTGGCACTACTTATGATGCTCTGGTCTATAATCGATGTTCATCCAGAATGCGTCTCTCACACGGCAATTGCCTCTAACAAAAAAATTTCCAGTTCACCTCACACGCGCATTACGCGTGCAACGAGCGAGGTGCCGTCGACGTAAGCTCGTCTCCCTCCCTAGGCGGGTCGTACAGAGGAATCTTCCCTGAAGGCCTCATCTCTACCCTCGATCACGGACCAGAATACCTGTTCAAGCGTCCTAGTGTGAAAACTGACCAGCCATGGAAAGTAAGTTGAACGTGATTAATCTACTTTTATGATTCTAAACTCGATGGGTTGAATCGGTAAAGGTCATTTCGTCAGGTTAATCTATCTGTCACCAATTTCTGACAGCATGTATTTAAGGCATTAATTCCTCATTCTGCGCCTAATAAGCTTGAGTACAATAAATATATAACCCCAAATATTCCAGTGTTCTTATTTTATCTGGTTGTAAATAATGTCTCTACGCAGATTGTCATCGGAGCGTACGAAGGACATCTGAGAAGCGAGAACTGCACGAGGCCTCTTTGTGAAGTTGATATGGAGCGGCACTTCAGAGGACCTGGCGTGAAGCGCCTAGTGCTTGAAGGACAACTCGGAGGAGCGCTCTACCTGCCTGCCGGTCCAGGTCCTCATCCCGCAGTTGTTGACATGTTCGGGGGCTCCATTCTCTTGGCCGAACATCGTTCGTGTATGTAATTAATGAACAATCTGCACACGCAGTTGCTTGGCGCATTTATTTTTACATGATTTGGATTTATAATGAAATATTGACTAACTGATTGGAAATTTGATTGCTATAAATAAAGTAGTCAAGTCGAAAGAACTCACATAAAAACTATATTGAAAAATTGAATTTACCATGCTTGTAATGAGTGTATGATTGTCCTGAATTGGCGTTTCTTCCACAGCACTGCTCGCCTCGCGCGGAATCGCATCATTGACTCTTTCCCACATGAGTCTCAGTGGCGGAATGAGTCTCAGCTTCGATTTCGAGCACTTGGAACACGCCGTGAATTTTCTGCTGTCCCAACCAAACGTTATTCCTGATAGGTGCGGGGTCGTTGCGAACTGCATGGCTGGTGCTTATGGATGCCTTATGGGAATTCACATTGATCGAGTGAAGGCTGTGTATTTACTGAACGCACCAGCCGTTGCAAACTTCATCAATATTCAGAAGAATGGGGAATTGTTAGTGAGTGGTTTTGCAATAGGATCTCAACATTTAGTTTATGATGAAAATTTCGTTGCGGAGGCCCATCCCGAGTGCATAAGGCAGGCGTTCTACAGTGATCAACGATCATGGATACCTATCGAACTCACGCCAAGAGACACGTACTACAGTATCAACGCCGGCGCTGACGACAGCTTAGTGGCCGTAATTTCACAAAACATTTTAAAATCCCGGCTTGACAAAGTTGGCAATGAAAATTATGTAACTAAGGTTTACGAGGGCTCCGGGCATATAATAGAGCCACCGTATTTTCCGTTTTTACGAGTGCTCTTCCAAACACCGTGGCCTAACTGCGATGAGAATCACAAAGGTCCTGAACCGAACAAACTGTACCTCAGGTGTGGTGGCAACCCTCGAGACAATGCTATCAATCAAGAAAAGGCTTGGCAAGACATGAGGAACTTTCTTACTAGACATGTGCGTGATAACAGCCCGTGGTATCAGAACTACATTAGAGACAACTCATGTACCAACTGAAATTCCTATCAAACGCTGGACTGAAGTACAGTTTTAGATGTGGTCCATTACTTAAACTGGACTAGATAAATAATGTTTATAAAACAGCTCAGGTTGATAATCGTGCCTGAGAAGTCCTCAATATTTGCAGAAGTTGTAAGAAATATTTTGGAAGCTATGCTAATTTTCAGGCTTCATAGAGTTTGAAAAACTTCTTCACAACTTTCTAACTGAGGCTTTGAGTTGCATCTATGTACCTCCGAGAAGAGCCTAACTATACCCAAACGCAAGGGTAGCCCGGACGACCGAACTCATTCTCGGATTGTGGTTATGGTTCATTCGAGAATTGGTGTCGCTTTTACGTACCTGCTACTACGTTAATGATGTTACTTCAACCATATTCTACCTCATAAATGATAAATTTACTTTTGAATTGACTAATTATTTACCTATTACAAAGCATTATTGTAAATTATTATCGAAGTACCATGCGAAACCTATTCTGATCCATGGTTGCATTTCAATCAATTTGTTTATCTCAACACAACAGAAATGCGAAAAGGTAATATTGTTCTCAGTAACATCGCATGTGTAAAATGAAAGTGGTTGTTTGACGCCATCATTCCATCCTCCGTCGTTGATGGACGAGTTTATTATTTAAACTAACTTTCATATACCAAATCTCACAAATGTCGGTAAAAAATTTTTTTATTTACTGACGGATCATTATGAAACTTGGTACACCTATGTAAAACAGAAATCAATGACTTTTTCGTTCATGTAAATTTTTTGAAAAAATTAAGAAAACTGTGAAATTCATTGAAAACGGCAAAAATGGGAACTGCAAAAATCTGTCTCCTAGTATTTTCAAGCTACAAGTACAACATGAAAGACATAAGCGATGCGTAAAGACCATATCTAAAGATCATCCGGCCATTTTTTCATTTTCTTTTTTTCTTATAATTTTTTTCAGGTGAACCAAATAAGAAATAATTGATTGGAAAAAGAATAATATGCCAAAAAATTGCTTGATGTTGTAGCGCAAGCTTTCCCATTGCCAATTAACTGCATTTAGGGTACCAGCACGCGTCTCTAGACTTATTCTTGACTTGTTTAACGGGAATAATAAGCTATAAATGTGAATTTTTCGATATTTATAAAAAAATGTTCATTTATATAAGTTTAAAACGGCCTAATGCAAAAAAGAAAACATTGCATGTACATCCATGAAATTTGCTTTCTTGAACGAGCATCGTTTGTAGCTTGCAAACTATTGCAAACACTTAGCAATTAACGAGAATAATGATCTATAAATACAGATTTCATTTAAAGAAATGTTTAACATATTGTTAAAAATGTTCATTTTATATTTTTTTGAAATTGCTTTACGCAAAAACTAGAGCACACACATACATGCGGTTCGCTGCGTAAGACGCGCCTTTTGAGCCACTACAAAATGAGCCAAGAAAACGGAAAAGCCATATATATCGATTTTTGACCAACACGCTCCCTTTATAGAGGTACGCGCTCTCTGCAATCGTATTACGTTGTAATGGTGAGATTCTGCCCATAAATACAATCTAAGGGATCTTGAATGATGTGGCGGTATTGCTAGCTTCGGCTTCCAAATAAAATGTTTTACGTCCTGCTACAGAATCAGATGAGATAAAAATCTCACGCTCCTGATAATGAATTGTAAACCGTAAAGGGCTTCCGTAAGCCATATAACCTTCTGCTTTTTAATAAGAGAGTTGAATCAAAGAATTTTTGACGTAATAGACAGGATACGTTCAGTGACTCTGTGATAATGGTACACAGAATGGTTAATAAAACATCTACTCTAAACCTCATCTGTTGTTTGAAATAAAACTCAAATGCTGATTAGCTTCACAATTAATCTTTCGGAATTTCAAATGGTTTTTTCCTCTCAAGTTGATGATTTTTAATTTGCGCATTATGATTTAGTTTTTTCTAAATTTAACATCATAGCTGTAATAATCGAATCGCAAAGTCATCATTCTTTTATACTCTTGTTCTCTACAACACCATGTTGACTTTGAACTATTTGTCAATGTCACACGTAATGTTGTAAGAGAGAGTAAGTATTGTTATAAACATTAGTACCGGCATAGGCTTTTCAAGTATCAGACTACAATATTTACATTCACTATTTATTAATAGGCCATTACCAGCTTTGGTTTCACGAGTGGCACTGATCCCAATTATTTATTTGCCCAAAACTGCTATGGAATTTTTCATTGTTTTCAACTTGTGATACGATTCGTTCATTAAGATGAGCTATGGATACGTCACTCGTCTTTTGGGCCATAGGGCGAAAATCTTGCATAGAAAACTTGGTGTCCCACATCGCGTTCATCCCAAAGAATTCAGTTTGAGTTGCTCACGGGATGCAGCAAATATCGAAGTCCTGCCTCTGATCAGCCTCATGGACGTGCCCACTTCAATCAGAGTTACTGACTTGACGCCGTTCTCCCTCGTCACCCTCCAAATGCGGGTCGAAGACGCCAAGGGTATCAAGGTAAACTTCTTGCAATTTATAAATTAAATGAATCGAGTAATGCGCTTACAATAAAAGAATTGTTTCTTATTTTATGTACAAGACAAATATTGCGAGGTTTTATTAGTAGTACGTTGGTAACGTTATTTGGAGCTCGAAGATAGGACAACGTAATAAAGTGACACCGATTGATATTATTCACTAAGCTACATGTCAATAAGAACTGTTTTGGCACTAATTATTTATGATGCTCTGGTCTCTATAATCGATGTTCATCCAGAATGCGTCTCTCACACGGCAATTGCCTCTAACAAAAAATTTTCCAGTTCACTTCACACGCGCATTACGCGTGCAACGAGCGAGGTGCCGTCGACGTAAGCTCATTTCCCTCTCTGGGCGGGTCGTACAGAGGGATCTTCCCTGAAGGCCTCATCTCTACCCTCGATCACGGACCAGAATTTTTATTCAAGCGCCCAAGTGTGAAGACTGACCAGCCGTGGAAAGTAAGTCTAAAAAGACGCTGCTTGAACTTAAGAAAACTATTCCAAGTATTGTGCTTTAATTTTTTTGCCGTCGTTATTTATTAGATCAATTTCCCGCTACATTACTCGGACTATGGTCATGCTCTGTATGAATAAACGTTTTTGCTTGTGTGTTTCTGGCAGCGTACTCACTGCGTGTCCGGGAAGAGAATGCATTTGAAAAAAATATTCTTTACTATAATACGTTGTAATTCACTTATTGCTAGGATTAGGACACAGGAAATCATGAGTATTCTGATGGTGCTTCTACATTTAAGAATGTTGCTAAAAGTGAAACGTGGCACTCTAATTTGATCATTGGAATATTTTGTTGATACTCGATATTGAGGATTTATTTATCTATGAATACGTCTACCAGGATTAAATTTAATATTATTCACATTGAAATGTGGAGTGGAATAAAATTAGCTACTATAGAAGAGAAAGTGTTAGGATACTTATCAGTACCTCTTCTGCCTCGATGTATTTCAAAATGGAAGAGCCCTGCTTAGGCGTTTCGATACCAATTGTTCCTTTGGTAGGGTAATATTTTATAATCATAAGAAAAACTGATGCGTGATGGTCATGGCCACATCTCCAATAATTCTGGGAGATTATAGAAATGCACTTCTAGCGCGGCACCAAATTTTCACTAGGTCTAACAATGCTTGCAATTACCCGATTAAGTGAAGTTCTCGAAGCGGTCCTTGTAGTGCTACACTTGGGTCATTCTCTAGCTCTTTCACAGTGTGCATTCGCTAAGTTCGACTAAAATTTCCTCCCAGAAAAGTTCAAAATAAATTGTGTGTTTTCAACTCCTCGAACTGGGCTTACAAGAAGTGATAATCAAAAACTGGATTGAAAACTGCATCCCAAGACGTCAGATTGTTTGGAAATAAATTTGCAAAATAATAACCCTAACAAAACCCATATCCCTGGGCAAATAACCCTAAACAACATGCCCAGTCTTCTACGTAGGAGACTTTCAACCTGATGCAGAGTTATTTTTGTTGGCTTGGTAAACAGATTGCGCAAATAAATCTGTAAGAATATTTTTTAGACTTTCAACATCATTATAAGGTTAGCGTCTCAGTGCTTTACTGAGCTTGCTAGCTGCCTGGGGGCTGCACAATAATATACAGTCGACGAATGTAAGGGACGTGTTCGATTTGGGATTGGAAAATAAAATCTGGAGCTTTCATAGCGCAAATGGATTAAATGTTCTACGAGTCTTAGGCGGCACTGGTAGTAGATACTGATCCACACATCCCTAATTTTGGTAGGGTCGAAAACCATTATTGGGAAGATTATCATTTAATAAGCCGAGTTTAAAACCTGAAAATATGAAGAGGACTTGTGGAGGAGATAGATATCTCTAATTAATTGAAGGCAGTAGACAATCTGCACCTAATTCAATAATCGATGACTAATGATAAAAATAAAAAATCTATTGCGCAGTTACAGTGTTGTCTATATCAACTCCTGTTCATTTTAAAGCTCGTTTGTCTTCTTATGCTGCGGGCTAGAGGTGTGAACATTTTTAGTGAAACAGTTATGAAGGTATCGATGTTGTTCCATTTTGTGTCTCGGTAATATTAAAGTGTTCGCAACATGGTTTGAGACACTCATTTTAGTTTTATTTAATTTTTTATTAGCCGAGAAGACTTTTGCTCAGGGAGAGACGAGCGTACCTCTACCTAGCTAATGATTTACAGCGAAAGTTTCCGTGAGTCCGATCTGTCGCATTGCGTTCGATTAGTCACAGTACATTGAGACCGAACTGATCTTTGCGAGTGCGTCGTTCGTGATTAATTGGATTTACATTTTCCACGTAGATTGTCATCGGAGCGTACGAAGGACATCTGAGAAACGAGAACTGCACGAGGCCTCTTTGTGAAGTTGATATGGAGCGGCACTTCAGAGGACCTGGCGTGAAGCGCCTAGAGCTGGAGGGACAACTCAAAGGAGCGCTCTACCTGCCTGCCGGTCCAGGTCCTCATCCCGCAGTTGTTGACATGTTCGGGGGCTCCATTCTCTTGGCTGAACATCGTTCGTGTAAGTATTTATAAAGAGCTATCTAAATGTAATGAACAATCTGTATTTACATTTCAGTAGCTGTTTTGTGTAACATTGCTTTGTTACAGCAATCGAATACTAAATCAACTTGGGAACATCATTGTTAAGGAAAATTAATACGAAGCCAATATTGGATTTGATAAATGAGCTTCAAAGCAATTTATAAGTATTAAATCGAATTTTGACTTGTGCTTTTTCAGCTCTTCTTGCCTCCCGTGGAATCGCCTCCTTGAGCCTGTCCCACATGTCTCTAAGCGGCGATTGGAATTTGCCTATGGATTTCGAGCACTTTGAAAATGCTGTAAATTTTCTGATGTC